GCAGTGATAATGCTGTTTATTATTATGCCCGATTTCGTAATCCGTTGTATTCATTCCCAGATTATTGGCTAAATTATTTTTAATCTTCGTTAATTACCTTTTGATGTTGTAGGTACAAAATGTAGCACTTCTCCATATCACACACACACACACACACACACACACACACACAGTTAATAATGTTCTTTCTAAGAGCAATAAGCTGACTGGTCTCCAGTGCTCTATGGCAGGAGAGGGAGATGATGGGTAAACATATGGGTCGTGTGATGCAGGCCATGGTGAGCTCTGAAAGTGTCAATTCAGCCGGACAAGCCTTTCAGCCCATCTGTTTGTTGTCTCGCTCTCTCTTTCCTTTCTCCTTCATTAATTATTAATTGATATATATGACCTCGTTCTGCAGTGGAGAATTCAAAAATCAGTCCATTTGTCACCCAACTAAGGCTGGCCTAGCAAACTAGCTAAATATTCTATCTGTCTGTCTATCTATCTATCTATCTATATATATATATCATCAGTCTGTGTGTCTGTCTGTCTATATCTGTCTATCTATCTATCATCATCATCATCAGTCTGTCTAATATGTCTGTACTTAAATATCATTGTTCATTAATTTATAAATTATGAATTATGAGCATATGACATGCTCAAGATGACTGTTATTTCATGGGTCCAACCTATGGTATTGTTTGTCTGTTTTGTGTTTACGGTAATTTCCCTGCCGCCTTTGAGAGAAGAATACATGACATGGCCCACATGCCACCTGATCTCCATCTTACTTTCATTACTTCTATAGTTTGACTCTAGTGTTTACTTCTTCATTCTAGTTTGAGTTCACTTTAAACATATTATCTTTATAGTGAGTAAAGACTAGTGACATTCCTATGGAGCGTGTGCATACAACCATGAACAGATGAACAGAGCACCAGCCACGTGTTTGCAGGGATACACCTGAATGCAGCCTTCCCTGCACTGATTATAAACGGATATCACAAAACTAACAAAAACAACCGAGAGCCCACACACACATGCTCTGCCGATGACTGTTTACACGCATAATAAATAGCTCCATCACACACAACCGTTTCTGTCAGGAGGGCAACTGGAAAAAGACTCGAGCCTCCTCATGCGGTGTGTCTTCCTGTAACGTCATCAGCTGAAGTCTGTGCGTTTCTATCCCTTTACAATTACAGGCAAATCAGCCAGGTGCGTTAGATCTTTTTACGCTTTTCTTTCGGAGCTGGCTTTCTGCTTGGCTGTCATTTGCTGGAGGAGAACTGTAACTAGAGATGTTTGCCAATATTTTGCTGGCACATTTTAAAAGATTTTGTAAAGTAACTTAATACTGAAAGGGCCTAAAAAAACGTCCATTGCGTAATGCACTGGATTCTGATCTATAATCACAACCATATTGGTTTATCAGAACAAACTTAAATGTGTTTCTCGCTCTCTCTTGCTCTGTTTTCACAATTCAGTTGTTCTTTATTAGTAAGACTGTTTCATTTATAATACAGTTAAAGTAATAAATCAAAGCTGCGTGGAACGGTAGAGCGGCTGCACAGGCCAATAAAAACAGCAATGGCTCCAGTCCTGAGTTCTGCTTGAATGTTCAGTAGCATATTAACCTCTCTCTTTCTCTCTCTCTCAGATGAATACGGGCTGTATTAGTCTTAGTCTGAATGGGTTAGGGCAAATGATGTTGCCTGTGCTTAAATGCATCATTATCTAATGCTGTTATTTCCCAATCCCCATCAGTCATTAGTCAGCTCTCTCTGAATTAATACACTGACAGATTCCAGTTCAGCACTGCTCCTACAGTACCTATAACAAACAGAATATATAACAGACTCACGTTCATTCACATTTCACCTCAAAACGACAAAGTGCATTTCAATTATGCATTGTAGAAAAATATGGCTAAATCTTATGAAAACATGTCCAGGTCACATTCACCACAAAATCATTCACCACATTATTTTCATGATAATTAAGACACTTTTTATTATTTTCCTTTGTATTTATTATCAATGGTAATTATTTGTTAGATTAGACACTATTACACCACAGTAAAAATTTGATTTTGTATTTAAAGCAGCATAAATTAGTACAACAAATACTATTATTTATAACACAAATATAAATAATATTATAAAGTAAAATATAAATATAATTAAATATATTCATAATAAAAAATATTAAATAGAAATAGACTATTAATTCTCATTAATTAAAATATATACAGTAATGGGAATTTGGAGAGAAAGTCCCTAATTGCCATAAAATGTACAGCAAAAAAATGTCAATTCTACTAAAAAAAATATGCTTAGATTTTTAACCCCTTAAGTGTCCTATACTAGTAATTTCTTATACTAAACCTAAACTAATCTTGACAAATTATATATCATTTGAAAGCTTACAATCTCTAGTTTCCATATCTGGTGACTGATTTTCAAAATAAATTACAGAGGAGCCGCAATTTATCAATAAGCAACAAGAATATTTTCATACTCCTAAGGCGTGTTCAGACCTTTGTTTTGAAATAGCAATGAACATGAAAAATCATGAAAGAAGGGTAGAAACCTCAGCAATTTCCGATCATTATTTATATATATTTACAAAACATAAAAATGAGGTATAATTTTATTACAGATTTAAACATATCACAAAAACAAGATCACTTTTGATTTATTAATACTACAAGATCATTTTTGACGTATTAATAAATCAGAGTAATCAGTGGAAAGTATTATCAGTCTGCTATTATGTGTGTGTGTGAGTCAAAGATGTTGGCCTGATGCGATGGTGACAGGTTTGTGTCAATCAGTTTTCACTTCGATGACTGTGTGTGTGAGGGAGGAGGAAGAAAGAAAATGGACAGCTAAATATTTTAGTAGTTGCTGATGTGTGCTTGTGTCTAGACTGGGTAGGGGATGAGGGGGCGAGGATGCATGAAAGAGGCGTGTCCGTTTGTGTGTCTTTGCCAACACTAGGAGAAAGGGAAAAAAACAAAAAGCACCCAGTTGGGTTATTGATGTAAAGTGTCCTGTCCTGAAACATAAGATCTCCTCTATTTCAGGCCTGCCATCCTAAAAGCTTCCCAGCGCTCTCTTATTGAGAGCAGAAAGTAGGATAGAGCCCATTTAGGAAACATTCACAACAAAAGAATAAGACCTGCTGTAAAACAGGTGAAAATGTGTCTTGTCATTTCCAAATGTGCCAGTGCCTTTTCTAAATGTTTCTGTGAATGGGAAAGAATATATATACTCTACCATCCAAAAGTTTGGGGTCAGCTCAATTTTATAAAGAAATGAATACTTTAAATCGATTCAATCGATCAAAAGTGACAGTAAAGACATTTATAGTAAAGATTTATGTAAACAAATGCTGCTCTTTAGAACTTTCTATTCATCAAAGAATTTGTTTTCCCTAAAATGTTTTTCCTAAAAAAATATTTAAGCAGCACAACTGTTTTTCAACATTGATAATAATAAGAAATGTTTTTTGAGCAGCAAATCATCATATTAGAATGATTTCTTAAGGATCATGTGACACTAAAAAATCAGCTGTGCCATCACAGGAATAATTTTAAAATGTATTTACATTGACAGCAGTTATTTAAAATTGTATTACTATACAATATAACTGTTTTTACTGTATGTTGCTCAAATAAATGCAGCCTTTTAATTAAAAAATGAAGAAAAAAAAATTTGCTACCCCCAAACTTTTCAACGATATATAATACTACACAATTAAAAATCACTATAATGTTCAATTCAAGAACCAACTTCATGTTCAGAAAATAGTTCATCAACTGACAGCCCAGATTTCTCACTTTAAAGGGACACTGTGTAGTTTTTTAAGTATTTTATTAGCTAAAATCAATGTCTTTATTCATAAATATGTCCTCATTGGTGTAAAATTACCTCTGCCAATGATCTGACTTATCCTCGTAAGCGAAGAATTTCTTATATTTAATTACATGGGACGGGTAAGTCCAAGGAGGCTTCCATGTCGTTCCGCCATCTTAATAGCAGAGAGGGACAAAAAGCACTAGCCTACCTAAACGCGTTTTCGTTCTGAGCCAGCGTCACGTGACTGAAAACAGCTGAAACGGACAAGGAGATCAGCTTGTCACTGCCCCGGCAAATTTGAAAGGCTGCACTGCACGGTATACCTTCATAATGAAGGGTCATTATGCCGAGCCACAGGAGAAGGAATCCTCGTTGCCAAAAAAGCAACAAAAAAAAATAATTTAAAAGGAAACGTGACTGGCGAATTAAAAAACGAGTGTAAATATCAGGATAGCTTTTCCCAGATGGAAAGGAGAAAGACTTTGAAAGGGACGCTGAAGTTGCCTGCTTTCTTCTCGACAGGTAAGTCAATGTTGCGGTCTAAATTACAAGCCTTTTTTCATTGCTTGGTTGCGTAATTCATTATATAGGCAGCATAACAGTAGAACATGTTTAGTTAAACTCGATGAAGTGCTATTGGAAGACATGTTGTCATAGCTTCTTGGTACATAACGGCTACCGTAGTTGCAACACACATTTGAAAAAGCTAGGCGCTAGAGAGCACTATTCGTTTGAATGCAAAATACAATTTCACCTCTAGATGGGAGACATTCCTACACAGTGTATAAGGATTGGTTTTCCTCTTTCTGGTTTAAAGCTGAACATTTGGCCTAAATGAAAGTATCAAACACACACACAGCAGCAGCTCATACACCGTAACCAGCTAATTGCATAATTACTTTCAGCTTTCTGTCTGTTCTTTGGGTATATATGTGCATGTGTGTGAGGGAGAGAGAGAGAGAGCATAATTATGTGTTAATAAGTGTACGTGTGAGAGGCTAATTATGGGTTAATAAATGTATGTGCGTGAAAGTAAGTGTTTGTGATGGTGTGAATATTTGAGAAGATTATGAGTACATGCATGTGCATGAACAAGATGCACATGTAAGTGTGTGACTTAGCATGTATGCGTTTATGAGAAGTTGTACTCACTGTCTAAGCATTGACTGCACTCGGTCTGGGTGGCCCCGCACTCCTTGACCACTCCCTCTCCTGGAGGACACTGCAAACAGCACTCCCCGCTGCGAGTGTAACTCCCCGACTCACACTCCTCGTCCACGGCTAGCTCCAGCTTAGAGCCAAACACCAGCCCCAGCTACAGAAAGAGAGAAATTACATTAATATTCCATCTCTCTAGGGCTCCACAGGTTCCTTGTCTCCCATTACACATAAACCCTTAAGATATAATTTGATGTTAATGTGTTTGCAAGAAAATATAGTCATATTGATATTCCTCAAATGCTATTTCCTTATTCTTTTCCACTAATTGCTGCAATTAATTCAGCCTGAACCACCAAAAGTAATACCATTCAAACATTGTTTTGCAGATAGTTTCACCCTTATTTGTTTTAGCATTAAATTTGGTTGTGGTTACTTTTAACTTTTTTCTTCATTCAAAGTTGATTAAGTTTTAAAAATATCCAATTGATTTGGTTAGAATATTGCGTATTGGTTATTAAATTGCGACAGCTGACAGACGACAAGATGTGCGGCAGGAGTTTTGTGACCGCAGTGATTCTGATGCGAAACTTCTAAAGTTTACCTAAAAACTTGAACTTCTTTTTTTGTGTGGTATTTCTAATTTATAGTAAGATTTTTCCAGTTAATCCCTTTCATTGTCCATAAACTCCTTCATATTTGCTCCACGTGTTTGGTAACAGCTGCATCACAGCATATTGTGCTGATTGCATTTCTGTCTCCAAAAGCTGGGGCGTGTTGAGCAAGATGAGACGGGCAGTACGAGTTATGCATATGTCTATTACATCTCCAGCTGTTTCTCTCGTATTGTCACGGGTAAGATTACACATACTTTACACATCGAGGTCTCACAGATCAGGGTCCGTAGAGCCTATACCCAAGACATCCATTAGCCCTACCCTTCCCATATGAGCTTCCTCTTTTACAGCTCCTGATCTGTTTGTTGAGTATTGTCAATAATAACCCAAGGGGTCGTAAACATCCGTGCATGCAGGCACTGAAAGAGGTGTTTATGGGCTCATTTTGTCTCGGACAACAGATGTGTGTGTGTGTGTGTGTGTGGTGTTTAAGAGGAATTGGAGGCTCATTAGTGAGTCACAGACTTCACTTTGAATTAATTTACTACTGCGGCGCTTCTCTCTTGCTCTCTCAATAGGTTCAGTCTGGTCATGTGATCACGCTCAGTGCTGATGTGTCTTATAGAGTGCAGCGGTGAACGCCTACATGCAGCCTTGATTTCGGAAGCGTTTTTCCCTATTAATTTTCTCCAAAGGAATTCTTCAGTTTATTCAATAAAGTGTCCTAAGCCATGAACCACACCAACCAGAGATGAATCACATTACAAACCATAATTTGAATGATTTTTTTTTTTTTTTTTACAAAATTAGCCTAAAGTTAGTTATATTGATGAGGGAAATAACTACTCATCCCATGAAGTGTTGTGAATCTACAGTAGTTGAATCCAAAATGGCCATGTGCATGTATAAATTCCAATGTGTAGGTCGAAACATTACTCAAATACTTTAAAACTCTTACATGAGTAAGACTATAGATTGTTGAATTGTGTGGTTTATGTTTGTGTCTAGATGACAGAGTTTCTGAATCCAAGACAAATTTCCTAAATATGGGACAATAAAGTGCATTCTCTCTCTCGCTCTATATATATATACTGTATATACAGATATTTATACATGCGCGTGTGTGTGTGTGTGTATATGTGTGTGTGTATTTTTTTTATTAGTTATAATTATAATTATTTAGGATGTCATTTTTCCTATTTGTCCCATCCATGGCTTGTGACTGTTATAGAAACATATATAATATCGTAACAATCTTTGAGCTCATGCTTTGTTTTGAAAGTTTTTTGAAGGGTTTATGCAATATTATTAAAATCTATTTCTCAGTGGTGTAAATGAATGGCATTTTTACTTCTGGGACCCCACTGTTGTGCTCTATTGAGGAATAAGTGGGCCTTGTTGAAGCGTTTCTCTTTAATATGGCTGTGAAAAGCAGCACAGATTCATTCATTATCATTAACCTGTGGATTCCAGAGTGTTTCAAAGACACACTCACAAACAAGCATGCGCACACACACACAAACACATAACAGGGTAATTAAACTCACAGCACATTTTTCTACTTGCATTCATTAATGAATTAGCATACTCTCTCTCTCTCTCTCTCTCTCTCTCTCTCTCTCTCTCTCTCTCTCTCTCTCTCTCTCTCTCTCTCTCTCTCTCTCTCTCTCTCTCTCTCTCTCTCTCTCTCTCTCTCTCTCTCTCTCTCTCTCTCTCTCTCTCCCTCTCGCACACACACACACACACACACATGCAAACATTCTTTAATATAAACCATAGCACATTACAAGTTGTAACAATTACACACAATTTAGACAGGTCGCCATCATCTAGACCCCCCACAATCAAAGTAAAGACGGAAAACCTCTCTGCACGTTTTCATTAAAACGTTGCCTCTTGTTCCTAATCTTATCTACTGTCCTAGCCTCTCTCTCACACACTCTCTTTGCCCTTTAAGACTCCTCTTTCCACCCTCCTCCTCCCCTCATCCACATCCTCTCTCACTCTCATTCAGAAACAGATGCACTTGTACAGCAGCCAACTCACCCCCTCATTTACTCTCTCTCTCTCTCTCTCTCTCTCTCTCTTCATCAACCCTGGCTGTCATCCTTTCTTTTTTCTCTCAATTTGCATTCGCTTGAGTAAGCGTGCCGATGAGTTAACTTGGCAGGCTTTAATGGACTCCCCAGTATGGAGCATGCCCAATGCTTAACACATCTAACGAAAGAGTATGTGGCTTTACTTAGCTATAGTTTGGGGACTAAATTAATCTGCTAAATCTATAAATCTCCCTGAGGTCAAATCCAGTAATGTTATCAATTGGAAAATCAAGTAATACGTTAAAGAAAGTCTATGGTTTTGCCCTTACTTACATACTGTAGCTAAGTAAATGTGTTTGCAAGGGCCTGTCATTACTGTGCAATTCACTGATCTGCACCTGTCCGTAAAGCACTGCTATGCACCAGCCAGGAAATGAGACTGAGCTTTAATACCGTGAAACATCAAGCCTTGACAAGCCATCGCCTTTTTCACCACCAATTAGGCGGCTTGTGTCCCCGTCAGATCTCTTGTGAAGCGCACTAGTGCCTTCGCGCAGCTGTAAAATGGCACTCCAGACGGAGCGCTGCTGGCTCATGTGTCGGTGGAGATCCTTTACTGACTCTGTGCACCTGGATCAAACTCAATTGCCAGCTCCGTTTGCCATTTTGCAAATCAGATCACTGAAAAAAGGTCATGGTGTAATTGTGTTTAGTCAAGAGCGTGTGCATGTTTAAACTTATTTGGACCGTGTTACACGAGACTGGAGGTGGTGAGGGTCACGTAGAGCGCTCGGTAGGGGACCATGAGGGTCACATGCTTGCGCACTTTTGAGTTTTTTCCCTGAGCATAAGGGCATATCCCTTACAAAAATGTACCAAATTAAGTTCACACCAAAAATACCACAAGAAGGTATATTTGCCAGCACCATCATCGTCAAAAAAAGAAAATATTAAAATGATGATTCTGAAATCTTATTACGTTGATAGCCTAACAATTATTATGCAATTTGGCTGAAGCAATGGTTTCTTTTTCTTTTTTATGGGTTGTTTTGAATTTGCCTATTGTTGTCCATATGATGTCTAAACAGGCAAGGTACGAATTATGGGGGAGGGGGTGGAAAATATTTTTTTAATTATTATTATATAGGTAAAAGAATAAATAAATAAAATGGGTAGCCTGCTTTTAGGTATAAATACGGTTCAACTATTTTTTTTTTCAATCGTTTAAGTATACAAAAGTTAAATAACAAGTTGGACATGGACTGTAGGCCTACTCTATTTTCACCTGGCGCTCTCGAACAGAAATCGTTTTTCCAATTTCCGATCGTTAACCTATACCTAACATTTACAAAACCAAAACAACGATATTTGGTATACTTTATTACAGATTTAATTACTGCAAATATCACACAAAAACTTAAGTTTTTCAAAAAAATCTTTAAGGCGTGCCAGGGGCGCCAAAATTCGGCTGGCGACCTGCAGGAATTTCTTTAAAAACATTGACCCCCCACTGAAAGACATTACAATTTTCACACTGTAAATACAAACGCATACTTACAACTCCATAGTAAAGGCTACTTAAATAAGCTATTTGCTTTATGTGGCAAATATTAATAAAGCCGGTAGAATTCGTCAAACTCATAACCAACTTGGCATGAAAGTTTGTTTACAGTCGGGCGCACATTTCTTCTGTGCACTGATTCTAGCCTGTTTTTCTGCCACCCAATAAACACACTTACACGCAGATTAATTTTAAACGACTAGAATAGGGAGCTTGACACCTGTTCTCCAGAAACCGGGCTGCTGAGATTAGTCATCACTACTACCACAGACCGAAAACAAGTTCCGCTGAATCCGCATCACGACAACCGGAGCATCACGCGAGCTGAAGCGGTGATCACCTGATGTCAATTAACCTACATATTTCATCCAGCGGAGGATCACTGCGCGCACTTGTGCTCTTATGCGGTCTGAATTAAACTAATGCCAACACTTACCGCTCCACAAATCAAGATCCACACCAAGGTGTCCATGTCTGAGATGTCCCTTCCCTCTCAAACTGTAAATCTGTAAGTGTGAGTCGTGAAGTGAAGATCAGCCGTCCGACAGTTCATTTTAGCTCCATGTGGCTGCTGCTCTCGTGCGTGGTTGGTGTTTGGGACTTTAGGACTGTACGAAAGCGCGTGCCCTCGCTGATGCGCGCGAATGGTCCTGTCCTGTCCTGTCCTGTACTCCGCACTCGGCGCTGTCCAGCAGTGCACTGCGGAGGAGAGAGTCGTGCACGCAGATATGAGGGGGGCACGAGGGCTTTGCCAACTCCCCCCATCAGCACCTCTCTCTCTCTCTCTCTCTCTCTCTCTCTCTCTCTCTCTCTCTCTCTCTCTCTCTCTCTCTCTCTCTCTCTCTCGTAGGATAGGATGTATTTCTCTTTATCTCCAACAGAAACGCATATGCAGAAGACTGGACGAGCAACTTTGATCTGATCGCATTTAGACTCATTATATTTACATATCGCTTTGGCTTCATCTATATGCATGCTTAGGCTATTTACGTGCATGCATAAATCATTTATCCACATGAACGTAATATCTCTTTATACTCTTTATCTCTTTATTGCGCTGTATTTTAATTATTAACTTGTTTGAGGATAGAGTAAAATGTATTAGCTCTTTAAATAAAAAATTTAAAAGAAAAGAATACTTTGAGTGAATGAGTGTAATGGGTGTGACGTCACGGGACTGGTGTAATTAAACAGACGCCACAGGAGGGCGACTGCAGCCAGTGAGTCACCGATGGTGGGACATATGAGGCGTGATAAGGCCATAGACGGTTAAATGCCAGGGATGAGAGGTTTTTACTGTTTTTTCCTTTTCACCTCCATTCTTCAGATATGTTTTCCACCTGTTCGATGTTTATGAAAAAATACTATGGAAAATACATGTGTTGTAAATATGGCTCTGAAATGTCCGTGTATATGTGACTGAGTGCTTTTAAGCAGGTTGGTGCACTGCAAAAAAATAATTTTCTTAATAATTTACCAATCATCTTTAAGTAAAATTGTGTAGTAATAATAAGACATATTTCTTACCTTATTTGCAAATTATTATTGTCTTTGTTTTTTACCTTTAAAAAAAATACATTTATGCTTAAAGGGCCCCTATTATGCTATTTCAAAGTTTCCTAATGTTGTTGTGGAGTCTCCTACAACATGTTTACATGCATCAAAGGAAAAAATAAAAAAAAAGTTTAATTTCCTCATAATATACATTTGCACATCATCACATTTTCAATGATTCTCAAACGACTCTTCAGATGAATCAATCATGAATCAATCCCTCTAAATTCCCATAGACAGTAAAAGAAATGGACAGAGCGATCTCATTGGAACTCAGTTGAGACAGTTGAAGCCCACTTTTAGCGATTTTTGAGAACTTCCGTTCCTGACGCGCAGACTCAGACCGACTCAAACTAAGCTTGATGACGTGAGCAACCTGTCTGACAGACGTTAATCTTCTAGTAGCTGTGCGTGAAAACTGCCAACGTTAATCTTGCAGAGACGGGGAACTTGAGCAAAGAGTTCTTTGGCGTGAGTGAGCAGGAGTAAGTATTCCGTTGCTTTTATGGACTCATTATCTATGGGCTTCTCCCTTGACGGGACGTCCCCCCGATTGCCTGCGAGCTTCTCCTGCTGTCTGTACGGTAACTTCTGTACAGCGCGACAGAGAGTCGAGTGGTTATGACGCAATCGTTAGCCTATTTTTACTAAATCTGTTTCTACGGGGCCATAGTGTAACATAGAAGGTAATGGAGCCCTTTATACATTGTCGTGTTTCTTTAGAAATAAATAATGGACAAATGGAGTCTTTAAACGCCTCAGATGTAAAGTTATTCGCTGTCAAAGTGACGCAAAAATAAATGGGAGTCAATGGAAATGCTAACGCAAGTGAAGTTCTGCTACAACATGGCGGCACCCGTCCGGCTTCAACTTCCGGTCGATGGATTACCCCCTTGTAAATTCCTCCTCTCTCTGCTCTGATCTGCTTCCTACTCTGCTCTGATTGGCCGGACGGCTCAGTCTGTTGTGATTGGCCTACCGTGCACAGTGCGCGCGTCGAAAACAAAAACGCCCATACGCTGATTTCACGCAGCCGCCATTTTGAAATCGAAAGCGAGGCTCCGGTGGGAAGAACCCCGGAAGTACAGATAGACAACAATGCCTTGGACTACCAACCTGAAGCTGCTGCAGCGATTTACACTATTGGATGTTAATATCCAATATAGGATATGTATATAGTTCGTTCCTGCTTCTTTTTTTACGTTCTGAATTATATATTAAAAAAAAAAAATTATTTATAAATGAATTTCACTGTATATAGTCTAAAGTATGAAAGAAATGTATGTACATTTTTAGAATAACTCATTTCTACATTACACAACAATACGCCATCGCATTCGCGACTCTCCTATGATTAAAGGCGACACTTCTGGTTTTCTTCCCACCGGAGCCATTTCAAAATGGTGGCTGCGTGAAATCAGCGTATTGCCATAACAACGTCAGCTCTGTTGTCCTGAGGCTTCCTACACTGTAAACTAAACACAGTAACAAACAACCACGTCGATTTGACCATATCAATGCGAGCGCGAGTCCGATGAGGAAAAGAGAAGAACTGGAAGACTGGAAGAGCTCGTTGTTCAACCCGAACCTCCATCGCAAGGACGACTCGAGCAGGACGTTTCTCAGTTACCCCTTTTCCACCAACGCATTTTGAGAGCCGGTTCGGAGCCGGTGCCTGCGCGCGAACCGGTTCTTTGTGTTTCGACAGCCAAAGAACCGGTTCTCGGCCAGGAAAACTGGTTCCAAAGCGGCACCAACTCTTTGCTGGACTAGAACCGTTCTTTTACCACGTCATGCTTACCTCGGGAGCTGGGGGCGGGTTTAGATAACATATTTTCTGACATAATATAGGATCGCAAAGCCAGGAGAAACATTTGCAGAAACACGATGTAGTCCGCCATTGTAATTGTTATGCTTGAAGTTGGCGCAAGCGTTTCTAGTTTTTTTTTATCAATTTTTTTATTGAATACGTTATGTAAACAAAGGAGAAAACAGTCACAATATAGAACAAATAAATGGAAAGAAAAAAATACACAAGACAGGAGTACATAACTAATCAGAAAAGATTACATATCAAAGGAAAAGATTAAAAGACTTACATATTTCAATTGTTTTTAAAGCCTTCTTGGTTCACGAGTTAGAGATAATCCCAAAGTGATGTTGTACTTGCAAGCGTTTCTAGCTAAGATGTATGGCGACGTACACAGTGACGTAACGACGTCGTTCGCTGGGCGCTCTAGTGGAAAAACAAACAGGTTCTGAGAAGGTTCGCAAGTTGAACCAACTCCGAACCAACTTTGAACCAGCACCAGTTCCGAACCAGTTCGTTTTTGGTGGAAAAGGGGTAATAGATACACTACTGGTTACTCAGTTTGAGGTAACGTTACATTATGAAATGTTGCATCTGCAATTCCTTACCATCAGCATTAACAAGTGCATGTCCATCAACAAACCGATTATTTTACTTGTACTAATTTATTTACCGAGTATTTTTCTAATATATTGCGTTGAATACGTGGAAAATGTATCAATAACAGTGCATGTATGCAATGTACATTAGCCGAGCAGAGTGAATGATCTAATGTAACATAAACGTTGGTAAAACAAATATTTCCTCAAAGTAGTGCGAACGACAGACCATCTGCATTAATAGACAGTTTTAGGTAATAGTGGCCCACAGCTGATCAACAGAAGTATTTCAGTAAGACAGTAATAATGTGAGTTAGCCAGTTAGCAGGAGACCTACATAATATCAAACTCAAAACTATGTTTTTTGAACACCATCTTTCAAGAGCAAGCGGTTTACGAATCCTGCAATAAACTGGCTTTACCTTCACATTATAGAGCACGGCGCCGTCTTCTCGACATGATGCTGTCCAGTATCCACAGGAATCAGCTGCAGTGTTAGAGGTTCAAGTTTTCCCTGGTGTCTGCTGCGCGTGCGTGGGCGGGCGATATGCTAATGTTTCGTCTTGACGTCACGACGAAACGGCTTATGACTCGTTTGAAAAAAACGATTCATTTAATTGACTCAGAGTCGACTCTTACTTTTGAAAGACAATAACTTAATATACGGTGCACTTTCAGATTTAAAACTTTGCAGGTTGTTTTCATTCACCTAGAGCTATGTATGTTACTATGTATGTTACACACTACATGAAAGGTCATTTTCAAAAATCCATAATAGGGGCCCTTTAAAACGAGATGTTAAAACAATTTGCCAATGGGGTAAACAATAAACTTAACTCAAGTAAATTTATTTTGAGAAGTTTCTGCTCATTCATAAAATGTGTGCAAATTTTCCTACTGTGCCTGATTTAATCCCAAATTAGCAAACCTGCTCCTGCTCTCCAATACTTTCTCTGAGAAAGACCTATGGCATTCTGGTCTATGAAAATAATCGAAATATCTATGCACAAATCATGTTTTCACCCCCTGACAGAAAGTGCTGAGAGTGAGGAGTGATGATCTTTTGTGCTGATATAAGATTTAAAGGTAACCTAGACCTGTAACATCATCTTACCAATCCATTAAAGCCGAGCAGGACCTTTCTTAAAGTGATCTTCCAATAGTCAGACTCACAGAGACTGCTGACTGGCATCAACTGACATTTAAAGATCAAATGACACTGGGATGAGTATTCAGGAACTGACCATCTATTTTACTGTGGAGTAATTGTTAAGGAGGACTCCAAATATCTGTTTATCACCGGCGGCAGTGATTAGAAAAATACTTTTTATCAGTCAGAGCAAGTTTTTATCTGGCACAAAAACAATAAGGATCTCAATTAGAGTGGCATAATGTAGCCAATATATTAATTTTAATATTTATATATTTGAACGGATCAATTTATAATACCTCTAGAAAACATCATTTATAACTAAACAAAACAGCTGATGAACTTCGAGTTTGCATTTACTTAGACTGGTGCTTCATACATTGAACTGTAGGACATGACATGAATTATTATTTACCAGATAATGAACACAGAATTATTCTAATTGCTTTAAGTTAGTAACATCACTTTTTGTGAGTTACTCAACTATGGACAACCAGTGAGGCGATGCAAAATTTAATTGCATGTGACAATGACAGTCTTTAGTTAAGCAGTTTGTATTCCAGTCCAACATCATGGTATAGATGTTTTGAAGTCTTAAGTGTAAGTTACAAAAGATCTGGTATCACTG